TAAGAATGCTTATATGTATCAGAAGATTAGCCCTGCATCTATGATATGAGCTGCAAATATGTTTTCCAGGTTGTCATTTATCTTTGTCTTTGTTTATGGCATGTGCTTGTTTCTTTTTCTTATTTGCTACACAGAATTTTTGTTATTGTTGTGTGTGCTTTTTATTGTTTTTTTTTTAATATTTTAAAAAATATATTTTTTAATGATTTTTTACAGAGAGGAAAGGAGAGGGATAGAGAGTTAGAAACATCAATGAGAGAGAATCATGGATCAGCTGCCTCTTGCACACCTCCTACTGGGGATGTGCCTGCAACCCAGGTACATGTCCTTGACTGGAATCGAACCCGGGACCTTTCAGTCCGCAGGCTGACGCTCTATTCACTGAGCCAAACCAGTTTTGGCAGTGTGTGCTTTTTAAATGTTAAGTTTTATTTATTATTTGCTTCTGGCTTTCAAGTTATAGTTTGAAAGAAAGCTCTTCCCCATTTCAAGATCTAAAATGAAGTTATGTTTTTCTTCTAGTAATTTTAGAATTTCATTATTTATTAATTTTTTAAACAATAATTATTTGCTGAAACCGGTTTGGCTCAGTGGATAGAGCGTCGGCCTTCAGACTGAAAGGTCCCAGGTTTGATTCCGGTCAAGGGCATGTACATTGGTTGCAGGCACATCGCCAGTGGGGAGCGTGCAAGACGCAGCTGATCGATGATTCTCTCTCATCGATGTTTCTAACTCTCTGTCCCTCTCTCTTTCTCTCTGTAAAAAAATCAATAAAATATATTAAACAATAATTATTTATTGTTGAAAGTATTACATAGGTCTCCTTTTTCCCCCCCATTGACCCTCCCCCCACCATCGCCCCCACCCCAGGACCTCACTGCCCCATTGTTTGTGTTCATGGGCCATGCATATGTGCATACGAGGTCCTTGGTTGATTACCTCCCACCCATTCACCCTCCCCCGCCTTCTCTCCTAGATACTGCACTCTATTCTATTCTTCAAATCCTGGATCCACTCCCTTCATTGGTTTATTTGATTCATTAGATTCCACATATGAGTGAGATCATATGATACTTGTCTTTCTTATTTCACTTGACTTATTTCACTTAGGATGATACCCTCCAGGTCTCTCCATGCTGCCTCAAAAGGGTAAGAGATCCTTTTTTACTGCTGCATAGTATTTCAGCGTGTAAATGTACCACGGCCTTTTTATCTGTTCATCTACTGATGGGCATTTGGGCTGTTTCCAGATCTTAGCGATAGTAAATTGTGCTGCTATGAACATAGGGGTGTATACTTTCTTTCTGATTGGTGCTTCAGGTTTCTTAGGATATATTCCTAGAAGTGGGATCACTGTGTCAAATGGCAGTTCCATATTTACTTTTTTGAGGAAACTCCATACTGTTTTCCACAGCGGCTACACCAGTCTGCATTCCCACCAGCAGTGCACTAAGGTTCCTTTTTCTCCATATCTTCACCAGTACTTGCCGTTTGTTGATAGTAGCCATTCTGACAGGTATGAAGTGATACCTCATTGTCATTTTAGTATACATCTCTCTAATGATCAGTGACTTTGAGCATAGAGTTCCATTATTTTTAAATGTAATTATTGATCCATTAAGAACTTAAGGTGCACACTGTGAGGAGTAAAACTTTCTTCATACTGGATGCTAAACCCTAGATAAAGCTACCAGAACATCAGCAAGGACACCTGGAGAATGGAATGAGAGAGAGCAGCTAATGGGAGGAGAAGCGAGAGAGGGTGGGCGGGTGGAGCCCAGGCAGAACAGCATCTCCTACAGGAGTTCCCATTACTCATCTAGCTGAGTGATTCCTAGGGCCCCTTTTACTACTTTCCTCCAAAGCACCCACTTTCTTTTAAAGATGTAGTATGTTGGCTATACCAAACTAACTGTACTTATGTTGCCCTTGTAACAAAGTCATTCACAGCTGTCAACCGGTCTCTGGTCAGAATGTGCTAGCCAGAATCACTTTCAGCCCAAAGCACAGAACTCTGAATTATCCGTTAGCTTGACGAGGCTCATCATGGATAAATGAGCCATTCTGGAGGACTTTGAAATGATACTAATCTGCGTACAACTTACTTCTTTGTTCTGAGATCTCTAAGGACATGTGATGACCTCAATGAGGGGACCTCTGATCTCCCCCTCATTGAAGACCTACTGGTGCTTTATAAAAGGGTGAGGAAGGTGTCACCTTCAACCTTAAGAAGTGTGTACAGCCGAAACCGGTTTGGTTCAGTGGATAGAGCGTCAGTCTGAGGACTGAAAGGTCCCAGGTTCAATTCCGGTCAAGGGCATGTACATTGGTTGAGGGCACATCCCTGGAGCGGGGTGTATAGGAGGCAGCTGGTCGATGTATCTCTCTCATCAATGTTTCTAGCTCTCTATCCCTCTCCCTTCTTCTCTGTGAAAAATCAATAAAACTATATTAAAAAAAAAAAAAGAAAAAAAGAAGTGTGTACACTTCCGTCATGCTGGGGACTAAGTAGTTCTCTTAGCATCTTTTTCTACTAGAGGTGCCCTAGGACAGTTCCTTTTTAAATATTGTTTCCTTATCTGAATAATTCTCTGTTCTAAGAAAAATAAAGATGAGAAAGTTTGTAAAGGTGAAGAGGGAGATGTTGGGGGGGGGGGGGAGGGGAAAGTAAAGGGCTCCTCAGTAATAAAATTGGTTCCTCTGCCTCAAGGGAGGCCCAGTGAGAGTAAGACGCTAAGACAGCGCTGCCATCAGGAAGGCATGTCCAGGCTCTTCCTGCTGGGGAGTGGCACTCCCCAGGCAGCACCCTTAACAATTAGTGCAGAATCTCTGGGGGTGAAGTCTATGCACCAGTCATGTTTAAAGCCCCACTTCAGTGTGCAGCCACTGCTCTGGAACCCAGCTACTCCAAGCTACTCCTCAGACCAGCAGCTTTGGTATCAGTGGAGGTTTGTTAGAAATGCAGAATCTTAGGCCCCAACTTAGACCTTCTGAATCAGAATCAACATTTTAACAAGACCCCTAAGACATTCACACGCACTTTGAAGTTAGAAAAGCAGTGGTCTAGAGTAGCGTTTCTCAAAGTGTGGCACCGGAACCACCTGCATCAAACTCACCGAGGGGGTGGAAGGGTGGGGAATTACGATTCTATATGTCTGAGGGTCGAGCCCTGAAATCATTTTTAATGTGCCTACTGTTTGAGAACTACTCCCAAGAAGAAAGCCGGCAATATGATGGTTGCCTTCCATGGACCAGCGGTCGCCAACCTTTTGGACCTTGCAGACCACTAGTGGTCCACCAACTACCCATTGGCAACCACTGCCTGCACTGCATGAGAACTCCCTCACTGACTCTAAGGTCAAAGCACGCCCATGTCTCAGCCTGATGGACGTGATGGTAATGACCTGTAATAGAGCAGGTGATGATAGTTAAATTTAGCTTTCAGATTGACGCAGAAACGAGTCTATGTTCTTGAGTTAGTGACTGGACAGGCTAAATTTGGATACATACGCCTCTACCTTAAAAGCAGGGTTAAAAATATAAAATGATGATGCTCAGATGCATCCTCTTGGAGGGTTTCAAATAAAAAACACATCAAAATGCACAAGAGAGATACAAGAGAAAGAGCAAATTCCCCTAATGGTAGTTCTTCATTTCACAGAGTTCTGTTTTTTGAAGTTTCTTGCTTGGGCCCAGATTTTTAAATATTTATGGGTTTAAAAAAAAATGAACCCAGGAATGTAAAAATCTGACCTCTCAAAAGACGTATGTGTAGTGTGTAGTACTTCCCTGTGGTTTAAAAGCATTTCAGTTCATATAAGATATTTAAAAGCTTAAAAGCTTCTATGATAACAGAAGCATAAGTGGATTGATCTTCAAATACCTAGGATTCCAAACTATTCCTCACACTTGACATGATGTGACAGAACTGAAATCTTTGTAATTATAAAGTGAAATAAGACCTCGGTGTTGTAATGGATAATAAAATGGAATGGGGAACAGCAATGTGATCTACTTATAATTGTTAGATAATTACTGAGTTACAAATCAGCAAAATCAAAGAAACTTAAAACTGGGGGGAAAAGGGGGCTTTGCTTTAAAGACTCTCCTTAGAGCAGTTTCTTAAACCTTTTGAGGGGGAGTGTAACGGAGCCGCTTTGGAAAGATAATGAAAAGCTACAGCGTCTCCTCAGATGCACCACCTGCAAGCAATTTCTGGAGTCCATATTAGAGCCTCAGCTTTGGCACTGATTTTAAGAAAAACAGTTTTATGCTTAGAGCAACTTTCTCAGCATCAAGGTCCTCGGTTGTTGGTAAAATTTTTGGCTGACTGTTTTCACTTAAACAGAGACAATTAGGTCAGCAATCTCATGACATGGGATGGGCCAGGTGAAAGACCAGATCACTAGATCATGCCAGGAAAAGAATCCCTTGGTTGAAGACGTCTGCACTCTCAGGAAGGGTCTCCCTGCTCCCAGGGGCCCAGGGCTTGCACAGGCAGAAAGCCCTGGACCCCTGTGGCTTCCTTCACACCGGAAGGTGAAAACTTTTATCCAAAGTTAGAAAGGAAAGTAGGCTCTTACAAACACTTTCTACACCCCTCATGTATCTGCAGACTCATCGACGACCTTTCCCCATTTTTTTAAAATATATATTTTATTGATTTTTTTACAGAGAGGAAGGGAGAGAGATAGAGAGCTAGAAACATCGACCAGCTGCCTCCTGCACACCCCCTGCCGGAGATGTGCCCGCAACCAACGTACATGGCCCTGACCAGAATCGAACCTGGGACCTTTCAGTCCGCAGACCGACGCTCTACCACTGAGCCAAACCGGTTTTGACGACCTTTCCCCATTTAACACGGACCCCGGAGACATCCTCAGGGCCTTCGCTGGACAGCGCCCCGCCCTCGGGCCGGCGGGGGAGAGAGGGCGCCAGGCTCTTTCCCACGCTGCCCGCCGCCCACCCGCCGGGGGCGCCGCGGGCCCGGCCCCGCCTACCGGCACCATGGAGTAGGTCATCATCATCAGCATGTCCTGGCTCTCGGCGCGGAGGGGCGGCACGGGCTCCCCGCTGTGGCTGCGCTTGTTGCGCGCGGCGCCCGCGGGGTCCCCGGGGGGCGGGGGCGCCCGGCGCGGCGCGCGGCTCAGCTCCTCCAGGAAGGCGCGCAGGGCGCCCTCCTCGCGCTGCTCCCGGCCCCGCTGCGCCTCCAGCGCCCGCAGCGCCGCGCTCAGCCCGCGCCACTGGCACAGGGCGAACACCGTGCCCGCGGCGTTGAGCGCCGACAGCAGCGCCAGGGCGGCCAGGGCGCCGCGCAGCCCCCAGCCCGCGCCCCCGCAGCCTCGCTCCGCGCCCCGGGCCATGCTCCGGGCTCTGCGCACCTCGGGCGGCGGACGGGGCTGGGCGGCCTTTATACGCCGCGGCCCGCCGTGGGCTGGTGGCAGCGCCGTGAGTCACGCCGCCCTTTGGCCCGGCTGGCGGGGCGGGTGGGGGGACAGGAGCAGTGGCGCCCGGGCAGCCCGGAGGGACCGGCGGGCGGAGGTGTGCAGAGGAGGAGGACAGCCCTCGAAGGAGGGGTGGAAAGGGCTCATGACCCGGCGCTGGCCAAGGAAACCAGGAAACCCGCCTCTCCTCCCTCTTCCAGCGGCCCAGCCCGTTCTTATTGCTGTGGCCCAGACGGGCAGGCTAGGGTCAGTCTGAGGGGGAGAGCAGGAATTTCTATGACCAAGAAGTCATTGGATTCTTCCCTCTGTTCCCCCGCACTGCCCTCTCTGAAAAAGATCAGCATGCCCCGACGCCAAAGCTCACGTCCACTGTCCCTGAAAGATCTGCTGCTGGGCAGAGTCCAGGCTGCCCGTCACTCCTCCCACCGTCACAGGACCGGGAAGAGCCCCTGAGGACCCCACTAGATCTTTTCAATGACGGGCCTGGATAGAGACTAAGGCAGTTGACATTAGAAGGTTAAGAAGGTCAGTGGTCAGAAACAAGAAGACCCAGCCTTGCCTGGCCAGTCTCTGTGCAGGGAGATTTCCAGGATTTGACAAGTCAAGAATCTCCCGTGAAACCCATACCTGGGAGGTGGCAGGATGACGAGAGCACAATCAAGAGAGGAATCAAGAGACTTGGTTCTGATCCCATCCTGCCACTTGGGGTAGGGCTGAGGGGCGAGGGGGCTCGCTCGTGCCTCAAAACATCTCCGACTGATTCTGAGGTGCTTTCTGGCTGAAGGACTGGGACTCTAGCCAGGCCCTTTCTGAGCCTTACTGAGACCGCCTTGCTTGAGGGGGCATAACCAACCTTTCCTGTCAGCTCAGATGCCTGCTATGCCTCAAAGGCCAATATCCCTCAAAGCAGTCACTTCTCAGCCTCTTTGCTCTGTCTTTCTCAGCTTCCCCCAGAATGGTTCTGGTGTTCCAGGGCCCCAGAGCCTCCAGGAGGACCCCCACACCAGAGCCCATTGTCTCAGAGGAGGAGGAGGTCCGTGGAGCCAGCTGGAGCTGTCAAAGAGAAAGGACTTTCTCTAGCAAAGGGGGGTCACAGCTGTTGCAGCACAGAGGGGACCAGTAGGATGACGGGGAAGCGAACACCTTGTGACTTAACGGCCAGGACTCTGTAACCATCTCCTCCCCAAAGATGTACAATTCCTGTGGGTGGGTTTTATTTTTTATTTTTATTTTTGCACAGAAGAGCAATCTCACACTTCTTGCCCACTGCTCACCAGTGTGATCCAGGTTAGAGCCTCTGAGGAAGTACAAGAACACTGAAGTTATATCTCAGAAGTTCTGTGTCAAGGTCTGGATTCCCGAGTTTTATTAGGGACACTGGCTACCTTGAGTATTCTTAGAAAACCATAGGGATGAGGAGCAATTAGGAAAGCATGCAAGTCCAAGTGGATCATAAAGGACCCTGTCTACAGAGGCATGATGACTAGGAGAGAGAGATAATATAGACAACTTTGTCCAGCTCCTCCCAACTCTAGCTCACTGTGACCCAATGGAAGAACTGCCTTATACCCTTACCTTGTGTCATCAGGCTTAGGGTGCCAAGAGAGGGGAGGGAGCACATCCCTGTCTACCACACTGACCACCTGATCAATGCAAATCCCCAACACTGTGGACTTTAAATTGTGGCCTTGTCAGACTGCAGAGAGAAAGCTTTTTTTTTTTTCACCTGAAATTACGGCCTTTCGGTAAATAAAAAAGTGATTTTCAGAAACTGAATGAAAGGGATGCCTATTCAGGAACAGAACTTTTGGTTACATGGTAAACTTGGGCTGTTGTCTGAATACAGTGGCCCCTTCAATCTCTAACTTCTTAAGTCCCCCACCACTTCTTGAGAGGCAGATACGTCTACCTCGCCTGCCCTGCCTAGCATTTCTCAGGGTGGGCTGATACTTTCTACTTATTATTATTTTTTTAAGTTAGCTATTAATTTGCCCTGCTTTGTTGACATAGAGGAGTTCAAGATACAGTGAGGACACGGCAAGATATATAACTTCCCTTTTCTAGAGACCAAAAAGGCCAAGAACATTGTGTGCAATCTTTACAATGAGAAGTAGTTTTTCCATTAAAAGGCAGATGTTCCATTTCCAAAGATTAAATAGGATGTGCCTTAAAAAATGGTTCCAGCTGGTTAACTTTAGGGACCTGAAGAATGAAGTCCAATTCAATAATATATTCCAACTTTAATTCTACAACATTTCTTCCTAATTGAAAGTGAATAATTTTCATTTACTCTCAGGCCTGGGCATTTTTATTTGGTCCTCTGTGATGAGATTCGCAGCAGTGACTTCTGATGGTGCTTTGCTACCTCCCCACTCGCCCTTCCCTCTTGCCAGTGGTTAGGGAGAAAGTCTCTCTAATGGTTGCCACCATGCACATCTTCTACCCAATCACTTCTGGTTTTAACTCCCCATTTCTACATTTTAACCTCAAGAAATTTCAAGCCAACCTACCAAAGCCAGCAATTTTTTTCTTTGTTTACAAACTCATTCATCCATCCATCCATCCATCCATCCATCCATCCATCCATCCATTTATTCAACAAATTGGGTGCTTACTGTCTGCCAGGAACTGTTCTAGGAGCTAGGAATAGAATGGGGAGCAAAACCAGACACCATTCCTGCCTTCCTGAAGCTTTTAATCTAAGTGGGAGATGTAAGTGACCAAGTAATCACAGACAGAATTCTAAATGAGATGAGATAAATGCCCTGAAGGAAAGAAGCGTGATTCTGTGAGATCTCATCACCCAAGGACTTGTCCTAGACGTGAGGTGTGGGGCCAAGGAAGGCTTTCCTGAGGAACGAAGAGAGATGCTTGAGCTGGAAAAAGATGAGTAGCTGTCAAAAAGGTGGAGGCGTGGGTGGAAGAGAGGTGGGCACAGGGGACAGCATGTGCAAGGCCCTGTGGCAGGATGCACTGTGGCTTATTTTAGGGGCTATAAGAGAGCCAATGTGATTGCAGCATAGAGAGAATGGGGATCAGAGAGGAGAAGGGAATGAAATGAGGCTGGAGACAGTGTTAGGGGTCAGATTCTGTAGGTGGGACCTCATAGGATTGGGGTCTTTATTGTGAGGTCAATGGGAATCCAGTGAATGGTTTTAAGTGTGTGTGTGTGTGTGTGTAGGGGGGGGGGGGGGACAGGAGTGTATGAAGGGGACTGGATTAGTGGATGACAGACTTTCATTTTCAGACGAGATCGGGCGCGTTCAGGGTGGTATGGCCGTAGACCAGACTTTCATTTTCAAAGATTACCTTTTATTGCCATGATTTGCAGTGGCTTCTGTCACTACAGAGACTTTGTATGATCTCTGACTGTCACCAAGCTAAATTTCAGCCTTTAAACCCACCTTTCCAAAAGAAATGAGAAAACTCTAAGTTCTAGAACATGCCACCTTGTCTTTCCCTGCACATTTAAAGGTAGTTGAAAGATAGAACCATGACTAACATTTAAATCATTTGACAAATCCGGATACCTGCAGGGGTTTCTGTGTAATACCCGGCAGGTATTTGCATTTTCTGAGAGCGCAGCCTTGCTTCAGGTGAGAGTCCAAATCAGGTTATCTCTAGGGTTGAGAGTAAGACAATGCTATTGCTTCCCTTATGAGAGTTGGTCTCAGTTGGGCATGTAACAACAGCTTTCCACCCATCATAGTTATTGTTAGACGCGGAGCTGTCCAAGGTTGTGGAGTAGTGTTATTTCAACTTCCCACTGCTCCTTCCATACGGTGTTTCCTTTGTTTGCAATAAACATACCCCTCCCCACTCACCTCACCTATGCGGCCCTGCTAGCTCCTCATAGCCAACTGTCACAGGCTGGGTTCTCTGCCAGAAATACTGAGATGGAATTTGGGGTGCAAGACGTTTATTAGGATCAGCACCTGTGAAGAAAGAAGGAGGAAGAAGGACTGGGTAGAGGCAGAAGTCCGATTCAGTGAAGTCCTGCAAAGCCTCAGCCCAAATACTGAGGAGCTCTTGGCTGGGTATTGCCCATCAGTGCTCTGTGTCAGCCGGAGTGGCTGGGCTTTCATTCTAGTCTCACTCAGCACAGGACAGATGTGGGCTGTCCCCAAAAAGCTGTGACCTTGGGCCAGGTGCTCTTGAAGCTGAGGCACACCTTGACTTCATACCCTGCTGCTGGGCAGCAAATTATTTTTTTTCCCCCAATTGGAATACTTCCAAATTATTATTATTATTTTTAATCCTCACCCAAGGATATGCTTATTGATTTTGTTATGAAAGAGGGGAAGAGAGAGAGAGATCGATCAGCTACTTCCTATACGTGCCCCGACTAGGCATTAAACTCGCAACCTGACTGGAAATCAAACTCATAACCTTTCGGTGTACAGGATGATGCTCCAGCCAGGTCAAGGCCCATTCCTTCTTAAAAAGGGAAGGAGCACATCTCTGTCTCCCACACTGACCACCTGATCAATGTTAGAGACAGGTGTGCAAATGCCAACAGTAGTAAGACTTTAAATTGTGACCTTGTCAGACTGCAGAGAGGCGGCTTCTTTTGCACCTAGAATTATGGCCTTTCAGTAAATAAAAAAGTGATTTTCAGAAACTGAATGAAAATATGAAGATAAGTTCTATGAGTGTCTTTAAAATGGCTAAATCCATGAAAGTAAGTTAATACTGCAAAGCCTCACTTAAGAAACTTGAAGCACTGTTTTTGAAAGGATAAAACAAAGCATGTGTGTGTAGGCCTTCAGTTTTCAACATACTTTCTCGTGTCATTTGAGCCCCATAATAAGCCTGCAAAGTGAGCATAGCAAGTCTTAAAACCATTTCATGGATGAGAAAGCAAAATTCAAGATGGCTAAGTGACTTGCCCAAGGTGGTCATACGATTGAAATCTGGCTAGCATTCATCCGTGTCCTCTTCATCAAAAGTGAGAACCTGCTGCCCTGGCTAGATAGGCCAGTTTGTTAGAGAGTCACCCAGATATGCCGTGGTTGTGTGTGTGTTCCATCCTTGGTCAGGGCACATACAAGAAAGAACTAATGAATTTAAAAAAAAAAT